GCTTCAAAAATAGGGCCAGGAGCTAAGTTCCTGAGGAGACACACACAAGAACTCATGTTCTTGACAAAGAACTCGATCAAGAGTCACACCCCAGGTATAAAAAGGCTGCTTGTTGTAAGCATTCCTTTCATATTTAGAATTTGGTGCAGACAAGGAACCCAAATTCAAAATGAAACATGAACTAAACAGTTTCCTCCAACTGGAGCTAATGCAGATCTGCAATCGAGAAGATAAGAGTTTGTCTCGTGACAAACTGTGGTGCTTTGTTTGATGAGGCATATATTATGCTAACATTTTCCTTAAAATCTTTCTTGTAAAGTTCAGAGGCCAGGTTAGGATCGTGGGGAGAAAGGGAAGAAAGTGATTTCTTTTGAAAGACTCATATGGTCCAACACAAATGTACATATTTTGACATTTGTGACCCATAAATAATATATCACAGGTAATTAAAAACAAAGTACACCTGTCTTAATAAGCCCCCGTGCTCATTTTTCCCAGCAGTTTGTCCCCAGATGCATCCAGCAGATGGTGCTCTAGGACACTTGCTTACAGGCAGTGAGACTGCATTACATTCACCTATATTTTGGCAAGACAAAGAATATGGATTTATCAGTAGCTTCAGTAAAACATATTAGGCTTTATGATAACAGAGGACATAATTCCTAAATATGTGCACAGAAATATACATATGCATTAGCATATGTGCACAGAGCCAAGTAGTAAATAATTCACACCTGGACGTATTATGATACCACTCTTCCTAGAGACTTGATGAGTAGTCTATGTGTATATCAGTGGTATTTATAGTCATATCGCAAGATCATTCTAAATTCATTAAAAAAAAATTTAGAATGCCTTAAAGTTAGAATTCATTTTTAATTATAGCAGGAATGTCTCATTAGGGTGATACTAGTAAAATTAACAACAGCAGGATTTACGGTAATGACTCCAGTGATTGATGAGAGTATAACAGAATGAAGTTTTAGACAGAGAAAAAGCAGGGCAGCCATGGCATACAGTACTTTAAAAAACAGCTCTGTGGTCTGTGAGTGCGAGCCTCATGGTTAATAAAACCTTCTTTCTAATTAACGGTGCTGAAATATTCTTAAAGAACAGAATCTTGTTTTTTTTTCTTTTTTTCTTCAATAGACGCCATTCCCATAAAGGAGAAAGCTGACATAGATTAGCATGTCTGATTGCAGAGAGGAAAAAACTGCCACCTTTCAATCAAATCAAAACCAGAATGCAAGAATGGAAAACTACTTTACTAAAATACTGCACACACAGACCTATGCAACACCCCGCCAGCCAGCAACCATTTGCGTCTCAGGCTAATCAACTGCGGCTTTGAAAAAAAAAATTGCTCAGTTACCTAAAAATACATAAATAAATGTTTAGTTTTCAAAATCTGTTTATGTATTAATATAAAGATGGTGTTTAAATAGCTAGTTTGTACACTTCCGTCTTGCTTTTCTAAGTAAGATCGTGCCAAGTTTAAAGTACGTAATCATCTATTGAATGCATGGGGGAACATTTTCTGCAAGATTTGGAAACGTGCAGTCTGGACAGCGTTATCCTGGAGGGCAAACGAGCATCCCAGGAAGAGCACTGTGGTGGACAAGGTTCACGCTGAAGCACAAAGGGTACTGGGGCACAGAGAGGTGCCACCTCACCTCCATGAGGAAAACAGCTCTCGCGCAAATGTTCTTCGTTCATTCCACAACTAAATGGAATCCTATTTTAATTCTTGTTCTTATTGAGAAAATTGCATTTCACAGGAGATAACTGGCACACGACCACAGCATCGGAGATGAAAAGCTCTCGGGTACACAGGAGAATAAGCCTTTGGCCATGCAGGCTAGGCAGGTTTCTTAAAACACCTGTGCCTTTTTAAAAGTCCCAAATTATACTATTTATAGGTTTCATCCAGTTTAGACTAGCCTGATTATACCAAAGCAATGTGCATATTAATACTAGATGACATATTAAAAATTAGCTACATAGCTAACAACTTTATATATGGCACTAATACCAGATTTGGAGAAAATGGTGTAAAATAGACTTATCCTAGGAGGTAAAATTACTTCCTTTTCTCATGGTTTTTTAAATAAAATAAATACCTGAGTGAGACCTAGAAAATACAGAAAAAGCAGTAACATATTTTTTTTTCATTTACCTATTTTCCTTTCAGGAAACAAAGTCTAAAATAAAAAGATTTTGCAGCTGAGGCGTTATGTGAATTTATAGGCCAAATCCAAGTCATCTGTATATGAAAGCCTGGCCACTTCTTAAGGACCATTGATAATGCACCTGAAAGACACAATGTAGGACTGGGCAGGATCTGAAACCCCACCTCTGAGAAGCCCTGCCTGCAGCCGCTGCAGCGTGGAACCACCAGTGAGCCAGAGGCTTATAAAGCCCGAAGCAGCCTGCGTGAATGTTTACAACAGTTTACAGACAGTTAAAAAAAAAAAAAGTGTCTTTGTGTTTTCTTTTGAAAAGCTTAGACTAGCTTCTTCATTTTTCTATCCTAATGTGTGCAAATGCTCCTAATATGGAAAAGTGCTTATTTGTCTTTCTCCCAGATTCATCCTTCAGAACTAAAGCAAAATTAAATTGGGACATCAGACGTTACAACAAACAGGGCCAGGGAGGATGAGCTTCGCTTTGAGAAAGGTAATTTAATTTAGTCAGGATCCATTAAGATTCTCTAAAATTTGTATTACATGTACTGTGGAGTTATTCTTTTATGTTTTTCTTACCAGCATTCCTAGGAGTTAATGTGCACTATAATACAATGAGAAGGTATAGATGGCGTGATTATGAAAAATACAGCATTATAATATGCACCTTAAGGCCAACAAGATGATGTTTGTGTGGTGGTTTATTTGCTTAAATAAGTAAATAAATAAATCCTGTGCTTCTGATAATACCCTAAGTCACTTTCTATTGCTGCTTTCATTCTGCACAGCATGGCTTGTAACTTAGGTCTTGTTTTTACTACAAACCCCAGGATTTGGTCAATCCTACTTGATTTGTTTTATTAAAGGATACGTATGTAAAAACCATCTCTAGTGTGATTTATTAGGTGTTTAAATATATAAAAACAAATATATACATAGGTCATTATATATAAGTAAAATACTTTCTTCTGGAAAGTTGAAAATTTCTAATTTTAAAATATACGTGAAGTTCTGAAGTGCAATGGTAAATACATACAAGTAGAGCTAATATGTTGCCAGCTACTGCTTAGAGTACACATTGGTAATGACTAGTATAACATATAGATCATGACTGAGTCCAAAAGGATTTTACAAAACCCTAAAATATCTGTCTTTGTGTATTTGTGTGTCTGTGTATTGTTGTAGGTCCGTTATACATCTTTCATTATTTTAAGGTAAGAAAAAGTTCTTCCTAAGTAGTTTGAGGCAAATAATAAAACAGTAGGTTTGTTATCTATTCAAATCTAGGTTTCCCTGAGATAATCTGGTGAATCTCTTGTAATCAGGTTTATAGAAATAGGAAAAAAGAAATTGAAAGTACTCACTCACCCTGAGGCCAGAAAGAAAGAACCAGAATGTCAGAGTCCATGAGGTAGTTTCAAAAGAGTATGAACAACAAATGCCCTGAAATTTACATCTTTACAACTTTTCTTATAATTGTATGCAGAATGGAGGTCTCTGTATAAATCTGTGAAGTGCACATGGAAGCACTCCCACCACACACACACACACACACACACACACAAATTGGGTCTGATCACAAAGACTGCATTATCCATTGGATCACAGCCTTAAAATTCTTTTTCATATCTTCTATTTGTGTAGGGAGTTATTCCCATTTGGGTCAAAAATAAGAATTATATATTAGAGGTTCATTAACCAAAAACTGTATTTACTCATCACTCCAAAGTATAAGAAGAACTAGTTTTGAAAAATACATTGTATATATATATTTTTCAAAAAATTGTACTAGACTTAAGTTTTTTGAATAAAGCTTTTGCTTTCACACCAATATACATTCAAGCATAGCTTTGAGAAGTCAAAATATGATGAGCTTAAATGTACTGAGACTCTTTCATAATTCAGGGCTGAGTGGCAGAAGTAAGGTCCATGGTATTCAGGCAGAGTCATCAGAAACAACATGATCTTTTCTCAACTGAATACACTGTGACTTGCTTTAAATTAAGAAACTGTAAATATTTAAGAGCAGTTAAAATGCTTTGCCTTACGAAGTAAAAATCTAAAGCTATTTTTGCAAGAACTCCTTAGCGTTGTCATAATCATTTTAATTAAATTCTCATTTTTCAGGTGGTCCCTTTAATTGTTTTTTCCTACTTCTTAATGTGTTTTTCTAAAGTCATTTCTTTTCTGCAGCTGTGTGCGATTGGTTTTAATGGTAGCTGCTTCCTTTTTTGCTTTCTGTGAATTACAATTTTAAATGGTTACACATTTTTTGTTTTACTGCCTCCAACATAGTTTCATAAAGATGTTTAAGGCTGTTGGTGAGCAGTTTCATTTCCCATCTGAAAAACCAAGAGCCAATTTGAATATTCTATATTGGCCTTTTATGACCTGTTTTATCTTTTAATATGGAAATGAAGCATAATTTTATAAAAACCAGTTTGTTTCCATGAAATCATAATTTTTATTTTACTCTGAAAATATGAATTCAATAGACAAGATAATTTGTGATTGCTCTTTTATATCTTATTGTTCATGAATAAAACACCTCTGTTTCCTTTGGTGATAGCCATTTGCACTGATGCACTAGCACTTTTAGATCATAAGAATAACCTACAGTATGAAAAGTGAGATTTTAATTGTCATTGGTCACAAAATGTTAATAATGAGGCCATCTACACCTTTCTGAAACTATAGCTGAGAAATAAATAATTTATAATCCAGTTTCACTCTCACCATTATGAAAAGGCAACTTCACTGCAAAACATCATTCCATATCACTTGTAAAAGTTTGCTTGAAAAATAAGTCATACTTACTGCCTGGGTTATCTCCAACCCCACTGCTTTTTCCATTCCAGTACCACAGCAGAAGGGTTGCATCACGTGACCCTGAGAGAATGTAGCAATTTCCCCCAATGTATGACTCAGAACGAGTGAGGCAAGTGACGACATCCCAATGGCCAAACACAACTTGGATCAATTTTCCTGAAATACAAAGCAATTTTTAATGTTAGTATTATAAAAAAACACATTTCTAGTGAACAGATAACTTGTAAGACAATGATACTACATTAATTCAGATTCTGACGATTCCGATTTTATAATCTGAACTGGTCCAACCTAAAAGTTTTGTTCACAAACTAACAGAAACAACAACAAAAAATCAACTTAATAGTGATAACACTTTTGTAAGGCATATGTTAAAACTATTTCAGTGCATCATATTGGAGGACCACATGCCATACTTAATTTATAAGTGTCATAAGAATAAAGTATCATAAGAATCATATTTGCTGATTAAAGCAGGCCCAGGAGAACCCTTATTTGAAACCATTTTAACACTTTCCTTTCACAATACAATAAAAGAAAACTTAGCTACCTTTCCATGAAAGTATTCTACAATTCAGATTTCACTAACACAAACCTGTCACTAAATTAGGGAAGCCTTAGGGTAGTCCTTTTTTTAAGGCAAGGATAACCTCAGTGACTTCGGGGAGCTTCCGCTAGCTTCTGCTTTATCAAATAGGGGTTGTGATTGCAATTTGAACCAGGTTATCCTTTCTTTGTTTTAATTGTCTGCAACATGGAAATTCCTTTGGGGGCGATGAAGAAATCAAGATTATGGCAGTTTAATGGTAATGAATGAAGACAGAGGCGAGGGGACTGGTGAGCCTACTCTACATCTGGGGCTTCAAACACAAGAAGAGTTGTTCACAGAAAGCTGTCAGAAAAAAGGTGAGGCCCTTACACTCTGGAATCTTTGGTTAATCAGAGATGGTGGTCGCAATTCACACAAGCTTGGCCCTCTTCATCTCATCCCTGCTGGCTTGTAGGTAACACTCTCCAGAATATCTATCCTTGATATCCAGCATGGCCCTTTCTTTTCTTTTTTTTTTTTTTTTTCTGAATAAGCAGAGTGGAGTCATAAAAATAAAATTCAGTGGAGCCATAAAAATAAAATTCAAATGTTCAAGAAAAAAGATCCCTAAGCTTCTGTTTTTATACACAGACGCACACGCACACGCACACACACACACACATATAAAAGATGCCTAAAAGGCCTATGTGTTTAACTTGGCATAAATGATATACTATTCAGAAGCTTAAAGTCTCAATTAAGTATTGGCATCTAAGTGTATTTAACTTTTTAAAAATTATTTATTTGAAAGGAAGAGTGACAGAAAGAGAGATATCTTCCAACTGCTGGTTCACTCCCCTAATCCCTGCAACAGCCAGGGTTGAGCCAGGCAGAAGCTAGGAGCCAGGAACTCCACCTGGGTCTCCCTTGTGGGTATAAGAACCCTAAGCACCTGGGCTATCATCTGCTGCCTCCCAAGAACATTAGCAGGAAGCTCGATCAGAAGCAGAGGTGGGCCTCGATCCCAGGCACTCCAATACGGGATGTGTATCCTAAGTGGCTGTTTAACCTGCTGGGCCACAATGCCTCCCCTTACTTTTGAAAGTAATGATAAATAAAATAAAATATTTACATTAAAATTTTAATTCTTTACTTTAATAAACCCAAAGTTTATTATAAAACTACAAATTTCAAAGTAAAATACTGAAAAGATGTTTCTCTAAATCAAATGGAAAGTGAAATACATGTTTTCAGTCATGAGTGGCAGTCTTTGTCCATAAACCTACTCCTAGTAACTTTAAAATCAGATTTATTTCAATCTCAAATTGACCTTCCCCACTAAGGAACAAAGATTTCAGTGGAAGCAAGTGATTTAATTTATAAATATTCAAAATATTCACTTCTGAACTTCAGCCTTTCAAATTGACACCAAATTTGACTTAAAAATCAGCTTATATAAAGAAAGAATGTAGTAAGAATTCAAGACTTTTTAGAATAAAAAAATGTAAATAGAAAATTAAATGTGAAACCATAATAGTTTTCACTTCATTTCAGTCCCCGTGAAGAACCATGGGGACAGGCAAGCCTTCCACGTGAGAGGTACCTCAAAAAGCTCATGCAGAATGGAATTTTTTCTGTCATTTCATCTTTACTTTACAAAATGGAATAGAAAGATGAAAATTTATTTTGGTGCAAAAATCCTTGAAATGCATGTATTGTTCTTCATTAAAACGCATTTTCTATGAACTTTCTGAAAGCCTCTGATAGCACAAGGTAACAGATAGGTAACTGACTGCACTTATCAGTAACCTGAAAGCTGGAAGTTAAATCAGTATATTTTAACTACTTAAAGAAACAAGGGGCCAGTGATGTGGCATAGCAGGTTAAGCCACTGCCTACTCCAGCATCCCATATGGTTGTTGGTTCAAGTCCCAGTTGCTTCACTTCCCATCCGGATCCCTACTAATGTTCCTGGGAAAGCAGAGGAAGATGACCCAAGTGCTTGGACCCCCGCACCTACATAGGAGACCCAGATGAAGTCCTTGGCTCCTGTCTTTATCTCAGCCCAGTATGGGCCACTGTGGCCATTTGAGGCCTGAACTAGTGAATGGAAGATCTGTGTGTGTGTGTCCTTCTGTCTCTGTAACTCTTCCCTTCAAATAAGCAAATAAATCTAAGCAAACAAAAAACTGAATACATCAAAGTGTGATTATGTTTTTGATCACAGAGTAAGTCCAGGGACTTCTGCGTTAGCCTGTATCTAAATGCTCAGAGCATACCCACTACAGGAGTGATTTCAATAGGTTATTTATGGGTAGGCTTATTTAAGATGTGAGACCCCTCAACCCAGTGGGCTGCAGCGGTGAGTATGAGTGGAGTAACTACCATAGAGTAGGCACTGAAAGTGGAGGCCGCCGACAAGGAAACGCAGGCGTTCTGGGCACACAAGGAGGCTGACGAAGCGCAGTTACTCGCTGGGGAACTTAATTTTCAATGCACGTGAGGACAAGGTGGAAAGATTTAAGCTGAAAGGGAAGGCTGGATTAAATGTAGGGGCAGGAACTTTCCAGCTGTCCATGCTAATTCTCATTAGTTAAGTCATTGTTTGCTTTCTCCAACGTCAGTGAAAGGAAAATGTATACTCAGTCATTATAGTTTCTTTTTAAACCAAAGTTTCCTAGTGATTTAATTTTTGCCCCCAAAATAATAACAATTATTTCCATCAGCAAATATTTACTGAGCACTTACTAGGTGCCAAGCATTACATTATGTAGAGCAGTGAACAAAAAGACATGACACCTGTCCTCAAAGGATTTACTGTCTAGTGTGGCAAACAGACATTAAACAGAGAAACACGAACACGTATAATTAGGAATAGTGATAAGTATTTAAGGAGAACAAGGTAGGACGAGTGAAAATTAGGAGGGAGAACACATTTAGACTGGGTATCTGAAAAGGCCTACAGGAGAGAGCGGCGCTTCCAAAGTTACATGTGAAGTGAAGGACTTCTATTTTAATACAAATGAACCTCATTCTCCACAGTTCATACTTGGGGCTTAACTCTGGAAAACAGTTTTTCAAGTTTACTTTTTCCTGTTCTGGCAGCCTTCCTTGGCAATATTTGTTATTGCTATGAGGTTGGGGTTCACTCCTCCTAAATAAATCACAGCATACAAATACCTGCTGCTCTTTTTGGTAAATTATTTTCTGATAATCTCATAAGTGTTCCTCAACCTTTATTTTTTGTTTCCTTTAATACCAGTCCACCTCTCGACACACTAATATCAGATATTACCACAAGCACTAGAATATCCCCTTTTTGACAGAACAAATTTTCTAGTTAATGTTTTATTTGACAGCTGTGCTACAAATAAAAAAATTCAAGCTTAGGACTCCGCAGCACTGAATCTAAAATGTGGCCTGAAAATAATCCCGACTGCTGGGGGAGGTTTTATTGTTGCCTCTGCTGTTCTGGTTATGCCCCGAAAACATGATTTATGTTTAAAGAATTTCCTGTTACAACCTGTGTTTCTCCTCCCTCCCCCCCAAATCTAATAAGAGAAGGATTTTTTTGGGGGGGGCTTGCGTGCTAAAATATAATTGAATTCAACACTTGTGATAGCTTTGCCATTATATATTACTGATCATACAGTTTTTCTCTTTGCCTCTCTACTAAACTTAAGAAAAAATATTTAACATTCCTATTGTTATAAAAACTCAAACACATATGTACCCTAAATGAAATTAGGTTAAATAAAATTAGCATCAGAGTTTGTCTACAATATGTTAAGAAAGATACTAGGACCATCATATGAGATTATTTTTTCACAACTTTTCTAAGTCAGTACCAGTGGAATGAATTTATAATAAGGCTCCTCCTTATGAAAACATTTTGTATACAACCACAGAGACATAATTTTTAACAATGGTACATAGAGGATGTCTGGAAAGAGGAGATGGGATGCTATCTAGTTTATTAAGTCTGGCAGACACAGCAGGCATTTAGTATTAAAAATTATGGCATTTTCCAAATTAACCAAAGACTGACTGGTAACACTCGTACAAGGCAACATGGTGAATTCACAAAGAATGCTAGTTCTGTCATCATTAGCAATATACATGTCAGCAAGTTACTTAACCTCTCTAAACCTCAGTTTTGTCATCTGAAAAATGGGGGTAAGGATGTCTGTTGACCTCACAGGATTATTGTGAGGCTGAAACAGTGTCGTGAGTGTGAAATAATTCTGTAAAGTCCCAAGAGTTGTGTGAATGTAGGCATTATTTTAGCTATTAGCATTATATGAAAGTGAAGTCAGCTTTACTTTGCAAATATTAATCTTTAATGCCTTTAAAACACAGTAAGGAATGCCCAGAAAACCTTCAAAAATACTCAGATGTCAAAATCAAAGATTAACATAATTTATGATTCTGCTTATATGACATTCTGTAAAACACCAGACTAGAGATGAGGGGTAGATGCGTGGTGACCAGGAGGCTGGGATGGGGGAAGGACTTGGCTTCCAGCAGACAGCTCTGGGAAGCTGGCAAGACAACTGCTGTGCACCTTGACCTGGCGCTGGTGCCCCAGCCCTGCACTGCCAGCACTAGCGGAACTGTAAGCCAAAAAGAATGAAATTTTCTACGTCAAGTGAAAAATACCTTTAAAAAAAGTGTGAAAAAATCAGTATGTAACCTAAAAGATTAATTAAGAAACTCTTGTGAGAGGATGTAACAGATTTAACCTGAAATTTGTGCAAAAAAGAGAGCAGAATTTGAGGTTTAATTTGCTAAAGTTATCATTACCATCATAGAAAAAACCTAAAATTTGAATGTGATTCGCAGAGAAAATTCCTCATTGCTATACATTTATTTTAGGAAACATTATCAATCCTCACTGCATATTTAGAGACTGTTAGAGGAGTTTAGTTTAACAGTAATGCACCTCAAAGACTTACACAACTAATAAACACCCAATTAATTAGAAAGCCTCAATGATCTTTCCGGAAATACAGAATAAAAATGTAAAATACAAGATTATCAGTTCCACAAAACAAAAAGTAAAGAGATCAATGCCGAAAAACCATTGCTAGGGTTTATTTCTGCAGTTAATATTGAACTTGTTTCCCCTACTCTCTCATAGCTACATTACAATACTGTCATAAAAATACACTCAGGACAAACTTCTTGAATAATCAATAATTACTTGTCCAATATACTATACTTAATAAGGCAGGAGCATGGAGATTATTAAGAAGACTGAAAGATGATTTATTATAAAGTATTTGATTAACTAGAAGTCTCGATTGAAAAGAATTTCACATTCCCTCAACATTTAACAGACATATGTAGATCCTTGTCTCAGCTGAAACATCTTCTTCAACAGTAAGGATCAGTAAGTTCTAATATATCCAAATATAATTTCAATTCCTTTAGATTCTCGAGTCTAAGTACTAACTAGTTTGTTTCATTCTGCACCAATTTCTAAAGTAGCCACGTGCAGCTGAGTGACAGGAATAATGTCCTGACAAATGTGCTGTTTGGTGACGTCATCGAGGCAGGAGCATCACCCCGTGTCCTGACACAAACCATACAATCTTAGGGGACCCCCACAGGACATGCAGTCCATCGCTGACTGAAGTGTTACTGTGTGGCACATCACAGTGCGTTATAGACACTCCATTAAGTTCCTTCATGTTTCTCTATTTCCTATACACAAAAATGTGTAAACCTTGACTAGAATGGATCTCCTCCCATAGCACTGAGTTAAGCAAGGGTTGTCCCTTAGAGAGATGTATGCAAATGAACATGTAAACTTCCACATTCTAACAAGAGCTTCTGTCACATACAAAATCAGTAGTCAGCTACTTTTCTTCATGGTGGTGTAGCTCTCAACGACAGCATATGCAGAATTAGGAAGAGGCCAGATAACTAGTCGCAAGAAATAAACTTAATGAGGGAGTCCTCCCAATAAGGAAAAGAAAATCCTTAAAATAATACAAAAGGAAAAACAAACCCATATGTATGTGTACTTGCCATAAGATTATGCATATACACATGTGCCCAGTATCTGCATGCCAGGATTTGCCTTCAAAATCAATTATTCTGTAAGCATGAGCTTGGGAGACAAACGTACTATAAAAAACCCTCTCTTAAAAACATGCTGAAGCTAACAACAATGGACTAGGTATACTGTGGATCATTACTTGAAAAGGCCACAGAGTGTCTTCTTCCTCTATTTTACAAGCTTTACAAGTCTACAATTTCTGGAAGGAAGAAGCTGAGAAAGCACCGTAAGCCTCTCAACTTGAGCTCCAGGTGAAGAAAATCTCAAGTACCTGTGTCTGTAGAGTAGACTCGGAAACTCTTATCCCAGAAGCCGCCGACGAGAATGTAGCGGTTGTCTGAAGTGACGACAAAGCACTGGGAATGGACCTGAATACTTTGGTCCAACAGGTCAGTGATTTGCCTCCTGTGCATTCCCGTACTGGTGGCTGTGAACACAGAGGAAGAGAAAACTACTAAGCACACGTGGGCAAACAATTCCGGCAGTCTGTCTATCGGGAGTTGGGGGCGAGAGAGGAAGGGCGACACTGCAAGGTAAGGATACTTGATCTTTAATTTTGAGTATAATAATACTTGGACGATCAAACAGCAAGGCATAACTGATTGCTAGACGAATGCTCAACTTCTGCCTCTCAGTAAAACATTTTTGCTTAGAGGAAAGAAATAACCCATAGTACAATGTTAAAACAGCATACAATTCACAGAACGTGCTCCCTAGCTCTTGGGGCAGCACCAAACTAGATTACCATCCAGACTGCGTTCACAGTGAGGTTTGTGTCTCTGACAATCTCATTACATCTATTGTCATGAGAATGGATTCATGTTGTGACAATCTATTACCTTTAACATTTTGTCACAAGAAAGAGATGTTAGGATTTAAATGTCATAGATGTGAAATACTGTAGCATCCTGTACCACTTTGGCTTTAACGGGTCTTTAATTTGACTAGAAGGGAACTCCCATTTCCCCCGTTTACAGCTGCACTCACGTGAAGGGAAGGGGTAGAATGACTGTTTATTAAAGATTCTCGTAATTGAAAAAGTCAAAGCACAGCAGATTGCCACTTTCTTACTCCTTACTTAAGCAATAAAACAAGACAGCCTGGCAGTGTGTTTCCAAGGTGCTACCTCGCACCCGAGATGAGGTTTGTCACAAGGCACAAGGTCAGACGTGGAGTGACACCAAGCACGTGGGCACACTAAGAACACTTCAGAGGCACACTATCAAGTGTGCCATTTTTAAATCGGGGTTTTTTCATTGGGATGGCTTTTTTGGAATTCTGAGGGCAACAAATAGAAAGCTTTGTTTTCAGTGATTCAGGGATTATTTTCTCATCAAATTCCTAGTATAAATAATACCGCCCAAAGAAACCTGATGGTACCAGAAATCAGAACACACAAAACCAATTTCTGCATTTAATTATTAAGCTCTTTTACCATAATTTTCCATTTTTGGGGGAATACCCTACAAATATTTTATTGCTAAAATTCAAAAACAGAAAAATGTCTATTCGTGTACATAACAACTAAGTATGGGTAGTTTAAAAGAAGCCTCAGGGCCGGCGCCGCGGCTCACTAGGCTAATCCTCCGCCTAGCGGCGCCGGCACACCGGGTTCTAGTCCCGGTCGGGGCGCCGGATTCTGTCCCGGTTGCCCCTCTTCCAGGCCAGCCCTCTGCTGTGGCCAGGGAGTGCAGTGGAGGATGGCCCAGGTGCTTGGGCCCTGCACCCCATGGGAGACCAGGAAAAGCACCTGGCTCCTGGCTCCTGCCATCGGATCAGCGCGGTACGCCGGCCGCAGCGCGCCGGCCGTGGCGGCCATTGGAGGGTGAACCAACGGCAAAAGGAAGACCTTTCTCTCTGTCTCTCACTCTCACTGTCCACTCTGCCTGTAAAAAAAAAAAAAAAAAAAAAAAAAAAAAAAAGAAGCCTCAGGCCGGCGCCGTGGCTCACTAGGCTAATCCTCCGCCTTGCAGCGCCGGCACACCGGGTTCTAGTCCCAGTCGGGGCACCGGATTCTGTCCCGGTTGCCCCTCTTCCAGGCCAGCTCTCTGCTGTGGCCAGGGAGTGCAGTGGAGGATGGCGCAGTGCGCCGGCCGCGGCAGCCATTGGAGGGTGAACCAACGGCAAAGGAAGACCTTTCTCTCTGTCTCTCTCACTGTCCACTCTGCCTGTCAAAAAAAAAAAAAAAAAAAAAAAGCCTCAAAAAGTCAGATGGAAGGAAGTGCACCTTGCTTTTCTGGGTGTCACAGTTTGCCACAGACAGTCTCTTAGTAATGCAGCCGTGTGAGACAACTTTATTTTTAACCCTAAAAAACCTAGCAATTAAAAGAAGGTATGTGGTACTCTCCACACTGGTTACTGCAGTGCTTCGCTCTACATGGGGATTTTAAAAATGCTTACTTCTGTCGGTGTTTATATGTCTTTTGCTGCTATGATATACACTTTCACTGGTCATATTTGGGGGGGAGTGATCTCTTGGGAGGACCTTGACAGATTTGGACATGAACTGAGTAACCACAGAGTACCCATGAGTAACGGTTGATGCATGCAGATAAACAATTTTCTAAGCAAGTGCTTACTTGTAATTTAATAGTGCAAAGTCTTCCCCCACCATACATCTATCTCTGTATCTATGGATCTATCTACTTATCTCAGAACAGCCTGTCCATTTCTCTCATAGTTTATTCTAGTAAACCTCTTGAGATTCAGTATTGAAAGTATTTTTATTTGATGAAAATTAGGTATATTTGTCTAGATAAACAGTCTTCAAACTGGGGCAGGCATACCCCAAGGAGTAGAAGACTTCCCAAGAGATACCCAGGCACAGATGGCTTTAAGGGAATCAATTTCTAGTTTCTCAACTTTCATATATTCTCTTTCCTGAAATTGATTTGCCTGAGAACTCTCCTGTGAATTTTTCTTTCTTACCTCCCCTTTAGCATGCCCTTTTAGCACTAGATAAAATAAAGGCCTGGTTCCCTTCCATGTAAAATCTTACTTCCTATGGCATTTTGCTCAGGGCATTAAAAAAAAAAATCTCTTTGAGAATTAAATAAAGGGACAGTTCAAAAAACTGATGTGATACTGGAAAATGAATGCCGCAATCAGGTGGTTTCCAATTCACTGCTTTCACTAAAATGGAATGAGGATTGATAGATTATTTAAAATAAGTTTCAATAATGGAGTGTAAGGTGATAGATAATTTAATAATAGGCCATAATGATAACTGTAGGAATTTTGCCACCTGACTCAGAAACAGGCTCCTTTTCCAACTATTTTCTTATGTAACATTCCTCAGACCTTCCATCTATAGGAGCAAAAAAAACCCATCAGGATAGATTTTGTGACCAATCCTATCTTGCCCTGTAATAAATATTGCTCATCCATGACTATAGGAGCTAACTGTAGGGAGGACTCACATCCATGCTGAAAAAGCTGTAATTACAATACATGTTCATTTTGTATGTTTATTGTTTACTAAATTTTATTTTCATATAATTATAAGTCTACATGAATATTTGCAATGATCACTCCAATGCAGATGAAATTTTCAGAAAGCCAGGCCTTATGGTCACTGAAAATTTTAAATTTATATTTACACATGTTTAATTTTTCATACATTAACGGAAACTGTAACAGGTAATCAATTTTAAAAGTGAAGATAATGTTCTGTGGGTGAAGCAGAATAAAAATATAAAATCAAGATGAAAAAGGGAATGCCTTAGGGGTGGACACTTGGTGTAAGAGCTAAGATATACCCTTGTCCCACATCAGATTGCCTATGCTTGATGCACAGCTTTGCTCCTAACTATCCAACCTTGTGCTAATGCAGATCCTGGTGGCGAGTGATGATAGCTCCAGTAACTGGGCTCATCCACTGGGAGAGCTGGACTTCACTCCCAGCTCTTGGCTCCAGCACTGGCCAAGCCCTCACCCAGTCCCGGTTGTTGGGGGCATTTGGGAAATGAACCAGTTCATGGAAGTTTGCTCATTCTCTCTGCCTCTCAAATAAATAGAAATGAATAATCTCCAAAGGAATACAATGAATTTCTAACTGCTAATGGCTTTTTAATGCATTAAAAAAAAAAGACAGAAAATGTTGAGTATCAGTTCACTCTGATATTTAGATTTCATTTGGCATACTGAAATTTTCTTCCACTATGCCAGGAATTATATATTTAAACTTGTGATGAAAATTTTTAGATGTCAGTTTAAAGATACATGAAAAGGTACATGGTTGTGTGTAATTATTTCAGGGTAAAGTTGCAAACAATCTGATAAACAGAGATTTACAGCAGAGATGGCAAACTATGGCCTGCAAGTCAAGTCTGCTCCATGCGTGGTTTTATACGTAAAGTTTTATTGGAACACAGCTAGGTTTCTTTGTTTATATATTGTCTGTGGTAGCTTTTGTGCTGCAACAGCAGAGTTAAGTAGTTGTGTCTGAGACGTTAAGCCCCACATAGCCTAAATTATTTACTATCTGGCCTTTTATTGAAAAAATTTTACACCTGCTTGGTCTCAGGGGTTATGACTGCTGAAATTATTTGACTCTATAGGATATTCACTGTCAAGTTTTAAAGCACATAATAAATGTATAATTCAGAAATAATGCTTTAAATGATGTAGCAAATTGGATTTACTGTTTTCCTGACTTTTAGAACTATCTAAGTGAGCATTTAATTTTTTTCCTAGGTGGTAATTGACAACTATTCAAAGCAAAAAAAAAAAAAAATGCAGGAACAGAGTAGTATTTATCCTTCCTATAGATAATTACTACCTAGATTTCTGCTTAGATTTAGGAAATAGATTAACTTATTTTTTAAAAGATTTATTTATTTGAAAGATTTACAAGGAAAGAGGGAGAGACAGAAATGAATTGGTTTTGAGCGTAAGGTTCATCAGGGATAGCCTGTTTGCAAATGGTAGCCATTTAGCTCTCTACTGATACAAAAGATTTTAGACAAAAAGCTAAAAACATAGGGACATACCATATTTTAAAACAATAAATCTGTTCATTTATATGCTTTCTTTAAAAACTTTAAAATTCCAGCAAATTTAGACCAGCCTTGTCATATAGTGGCTAAAGCCTCTGCCTCCAACACTGGCATCCCATTTGGGTGCAGGTTCATGTCCCAGTTGTACCATTTCCAATCCAGCCCCCTGCAAATGGCCTGGGAAAGCAGCAGAAGATGGCCCAAGTGTCTGGGCCCCTGCCATCCACTTGGAGACCTGGAGGAAGCTCCTGGCTCCTGTCTTTGGCCTGGCCCAATCCTGGCCATTGCAGTCATCTGGGGAGTGAACCAGAACATGGAAGATATTTTCTCTCACTCTCTGTAACTCTTACTTTCAAACAAATAAATAAATCTTCAAAAAAATTTCCAGTAAATTATTTATGACACAGAAATCTGACAAAAAAGCCAAATATCCATGCTGGTATCCTATCCCCACAGCTAAACAATGAAATTTTTTATTCTAAAAGTTACTAAACAGCAGCTTCCATATCAAAGCTTAACATTCTAAGTGATGCCACATCTGAAATCCTCACACATAACAATGAGAAAGGCTAAACTAGAGAGTCCAACCACCCTACTCAGAAAGCACTTGAGCAATTAAATATTCTAAGTCATCTGCTGCACATGCTCATTCCATTCGGATGGCTCTTCCTCCTCTCCTCCCTATTTTTTTTTCCCACTCAACAAATTTAACCTCCAATGGCAATTTATTGGGCTGTAGGACCCTAGGAAAATGAATACAAATATCTTAACACCACCATTGGCTGGGCAATATATTTCAACTTGGAAGCTGCTCTGCAATCGCACATTAATCCCCTCCGATGGAACAGAGGGTCCAGGAAGAAAGGATTGATCTCCTTTAATGATGAAACCCTGGCACTACAGTTTTATTTTTCACAACACAGTGCTGCTAAGAACCCCACTGCTATTATGAAAATTTCCCTAGCAAAGGAGCTCCATCACATTACCAGTGCACCAATTCATCATAACGTGCCTCGCTCCTGCTCATCAACAAGTCTGAGTGATGAAAAGATCCAATATTATCCTGACAGTGCTTCATGCGCATTCTCAATCACACATTATTACAGCATCCATATTAATTTTCAATGACACGCGTCCTAGGCCTGTTCAAATTAGGCAAACCAACGAGGGGGAGTTGATGAAATACCAGCATAGCCACAGCTCATTGCATTCCAATTTGCATGCAAATGGTTTATCAGGAAAATTCCATTCCCAGCAACCAGCAAGTGAAAAACAACTGTAATCTACACTTCAGGGCCACCATACAGAGCTTAATGAATCGCAAAGAGAGAAGGAAGTGACAGACCTATGAGAGGATCGATTTCCACTGGCAGCTGGTATGGCTGGTCTTGTACAGCACCTTGATGAGCTGGAATTCACAAAAGATAAAAAAAAAAGCATTATTTTTCATATACTAAACTACACAAAAATGCATAAGTCAAACCTTATGTAGAATTGTTTCCAACCTCCAAATCACTCATGCAGTTCTGTGAAATATAAAGAACAAAAATCCAGGTGCTTTTATGGCTTGCTTATTAAACATTTATTTTAGATTAGTGCTGTTCTGAACATGTGCCATCAGCAGTGGCTCCAGTCCTGGGCCATAAGCTAGAGCAGATGCTTGACTGGCAACCTCCAATGCTGCAACAAAACAAAATTAAGTGGTAAAGCGTGCTGAAAACAAAATGTGACAACCATCTGCTGACTGTAGCAAATACCATTTTTTCGTTACTTCTTAAAAAGGCAGTTTTGAATGCTGCAGCACAAAGAATCCACAAAAACGTCAATTTATGATGGAGAAAGGGAAAGCTCTAAGTCAGGGAACATTTAATGTTTCATCCATCACTTAAAATCAATCAATTGAAAGTTGGAATAAAAATAAAGCTATCTGCAGATAAATGTTTTAGTTAAATGCATTTGGCTGAAATATTTTCTTAAATATTGGATTGAGGGTTTTTAAAAAAGTTTTATTAATATTTAATATTTCCATGGTTTCAATTTAAAAATACTCTGAGAAGCAAATGAGGTACAAAAATCAATCTAGACTAAAAATAGTTTTTCAGTTCTCACAATGGTTTTAATGACTCAGGCATACTTGTTTTGTCATTGGAAAGAGGTTTTGCAGGTTGTTTCCCTATAAAAGGTAGATCTTTGGAGAAGAAGGGTATTAAGAATTAGGAGCTGGCCGGCGCCGCGGCTCACTAGGCTAATCCTCCGCCTAGCGGCGCCGGCACACCGGGTTCTAGTCCCGGTCGGGGCGCCGGATTCTGTCCCGGTTGCCCCTCTTCCAGGCCAGCCCTCTGCTGTGGCCCGGGAGTGCAGTGGAGGATGGCCCAGGTGCTTGGGCCCTGCACCCCATGGGAGACCAGGAAAAGCACCTGGCTCCTGGCTCCTGCCATCGGATCAGCGCGGTGCGCCGGTCGCATCGCGCTGGCCGCGGCGGCCATTGGAGGGTGAACCAACGGCAAAGGAAGACCTTTCTCTCTGTCTCTCTCTCTCTCACTGTCCACTCTGCCTGTCAAAAATAAAAAAAAAAAAAATAAATAAATTAAAAAAAAAAAAAAAAAAAAGAATTAGGAGCTGCCATTAGCAAGCCAAGCAACCTTAGGAAAGTCATAATACCCAAATGAAGGGTTTGGAATGGATGATCTTTTCAGCTTCATAGTTCTGATAGTTAAATTCCAGGTACTTTTCTAAACTATTTTCCCCAAATGACTCAGCCACTCACCCTTGTCAATGTCTGCCTTTTATGGACTCACAATGCACTTACATTACTGCTTGACTGGTGTTAGGGCTCTACTAAATACTGTTGGATTTTAGATAATCCTTTCAAATGTACTTGAGGAGCTGAAAATGCCAATGAGGTACATCTCAGGCATGGGCCCTTAGCCTGGCTCTTAATAATCTGGCTGAGACGCTCTCATCACACATCGGAGTATCTGGGCTTGATGCCACACTCCAGTTCCTGGCTCTAGCTAACACAGACCCTGGGGGGCAGTGGTGATGCTGTGTTCCTGCTACCCAAGAAGGACACTTGGATTAAATTCCTGGCTTCAGCCTTGGTCTGACCCAAGCCACTGTGGATATTTGGGGAGTGAACCACCAGATGGGAACTCCGTCTTCTCTGTATCTCTGCCTCTCAATTAAAAACTTTTTTTTTTTAAAGGAGTATATTTCAGTAAGTTCATTACATTATTTTTAAATGTATTATAATTTTCTAGTGAGTAAATATCAAGTTTTCAAGGATATCTGGAAAACTGTTAATACCAATACCTAAGCACAATACTGGCACTAGAAGTTACAGTTGAGTATGTATCACACTAAATTCGCTGAAGAAAGGAAGCCACAATGACTCTTTTTCAATTTTTTTGAGTGCAGGTATCTAACTTCTACAGACAAATTTCAGATGCTTACAGGGAATGATCAGGGTGGTGCTCTGTAGCCTCAGGTCTCCCCAGCAGTGCCATTTATTTACTTCTAGTAAGAGCACTGTCAATCAACACTAATACCCTGGGAATATGCGATCATAGAAATATTAAAGCCATACTGTCGTGGAAGGAGTTTAAGGAGGTCTGGTGACACCTCAATCCCAGTTTTGCCACCGACTGCCTCTTTGACCTCCCTTGAACAAGTCATGTATCTCTGTGTTCTTTCCTGATCTGTAAAATAGGTTAGATTGAACTATATGAAATTGCCAATACCTGACCATTTTGAATACTTGAAAAGGCAATTTCATATGGTTCAAACTAAATACAGATCCTACAACCTCAAGCTGTTGAAGGGACTGCTTTAATCAAGAAGAAATGATTAAAACAGAACTCAGAAACTATAAAATGCTTTACAAATATTAGCTGCTGTTATTTGATATTTTAGAGGTTCTTTAAGTTCTCTTCAATAAGAAAGGAGGATACAGACCATTTCTTTTCTCTTTCTTTTAAAGATTTATTTTATTTTTATTTATTTGAAAGTCAGAGCTACACAGCGAGAGAAGGCAAGGCAGACAGAGTCTTTCCCCCCTCCCCCAGAAGATTGAGAAAGCTGGGAGATGACAATTTTAAAGGGAGGAATCTATTATCTTTCTCCCGCCCCTCCGGGCGGGGGGCCAGGGCCCCCAGGGCCTGGGCCATCTTCTACTGCTTTCCCAGGCCATGGCAGAGAGCTGGATAGGAAGTGGAGCTGCTGGGATTAGAATCAGTGCCTATATGGGATGCTGGCACTGCAGGTGATGGCTTTACCCACTATGCCACAGCGCTGGCCCCTAGACCATTTCTTTTCTAAATCAGGATTCAAAGTAACGACAGGGACCAGCTGTCTCATGAATGAGCTATGGAAATCATAACTCCTCAGAAAAGAACCTAAATTTTTTTAAAAAGTGGAGCACACTTCTGATCCAGCTCTCTGCTATGGCCTGGGAAAGCAGTAGAAGATGGCCCAAGTCCTTGGGGCCCAGTGCCCACATGGGAGATGCAGAAGAAGCTCCCGGCCCCTGGCTTCGGATTGGCATAGCTCCCACCATTGCGGCCATTTGGGGAGTGAACCAGCAGATGGAAGGCCTCTGTCTCTCTGCCTCTGCCTCTCTGTAATTCTGCCTTTCAAATAAATAAGTAAATCTTAAAAAAAAAAGTTAGTATAAAATATATTTGAGGTTTTCTAAAGAAAAACTGGCATTTTTGATGTTTGTTTTAAATCAGGACATGCTGACAGGTGAAGATGGCAGAAGACATGGTACAAGAATGGACTTGAGTAAACACACATGGAATGAGGCACAGAATCCACAGAATGGACGCCGAGTGTAGGTGTAGGTGGAGCTCGGGATCGGAGATCACACTGTAGAACAGCCGCTGCTTGTGGTGTGTCCCCATGTGTTACCATGCTTTGTATTTGCCAATGAAGTGTGCAGTGCCCTACTGTCGAGTGGGTTGTCTAGGAAGGAGGATACAAACAGCACCAGTGACACAGACATAGACACTATGATGCCTCCCTGGGGAGAATGATGGGCAAGGAAGCTGCAGAACTATGCCGTGCCCATGCTCTTATCTCACAGAAAGGCAAGCCTGGGCTGCACACAGTGGGATACTCCTTAAGTGGTACTCTAATGGAAGGATTCTACCCTTAACTCACTTTATGTATTACAGAAAACAGGAAAGAGGACACTTAGCTACCGTGTACTAAGGGAAGCAAGTTTTTCAGTCAGAGACATGGGCTGCTCGAAAGCGAGATGTCAAGGAGCTTAGTGCTCCAAATGCCTTTGGTTCCTGCTGAGCTAGCTCTTTCCTAGAAACCAAAGATAAAGCTTTCTCTGTCCTCTCAAATGCGGCCACTGTTTAAAGTGAACAAGTTCTCAGGATGCCCACAAACTGCCACCCAGGATAAGCATCATTTGTAGTGGCCATGACATCACACACGTGGGGGCATTTGCAAAGCTGGAAGGTTAATGCACTTGGAATAGGTGACCCCCTGAAGTGTATCTGACAGAACATACCACCGGCATGTTTTTCTTCCAAAGAGCAGAAACCTCATCTAGAGAAACCAGACATCACATTTCTTAAATTATAATCATTAGTTCCAAAATATAAATGTCATTTGCATATGTATTTACCTCTGCAAGATATGTGTACTTCAAGAAAACACCACAAAAGCACTAACAAGAGATATTAAATACCTACCACACTTTTAGCATCTTCACTTCTTCTGAAACCTATTTTCTAATCAAATACTGGCTTTTCTTTCTATTCTTTCATTCCTAGATGCTAGGAAAATGGCTATATTTACTCAATTCTTTTTTTAAAAAATATTTATTCATTTATTTGAAAGGCAGAGATACAGAAAGAGAAAAGGAAAGAGAGAGAGTTTCCATCCACTGGTTTACTCCCCAAATGGCCACAAATGCCAGGGCTGGACAGGCAAAAGCAAGGAGCCAGGAGCTTCTTCTGGGTCTCCCATATGGATGGCAGGGGCCTAAGTACTTGAGCCGTCTTCTGCTGCTTTCCCAGGCACATCAGCAGGGAGCTGGATCAGAAGTGGGGCATTCAGGACTTGAACCAGTGCCCATTTGGGATACCGGCACTGCAGGCAGAGGCTTAAACCTTCTATGCCACAGTGCCAGCCCCATATTTACTCAATTCTGATACCAACCACAGATTCTTTGTGAGAGGTACCTTATTATGCTTAGTCAGTATTCCAGAGTTTTGTTTGAATATCAATTTTGTTCCATTCTAAACCATCTGCATTGAATTTGTATTTCAGGGGCTAGGATTGTAGCAAAGCAGGTTAAGCAGTTGAGCCTAGCATCCCTTATCAGCGTGCTGGTTCGAGTCCCAGCTACTCTGCTCCTGATCTAGCTCCAGCTAACACAACTGGGAAGGCAGCAGATTATGGCCCAAGTTCTCAGGCCCATGCCAGCCATGTGGGAGGATAGGATGGAGTTCCTGACTCCTGGTTTCAGCCTGGGCCAGATCTCGCTCTTGTGGGCATTTGGGGAGTGAATCAGCAGATGCAAGATTTGTCTCTCTCTGTGTTGCTCTGCCTTTCAAATAAATACATTTTAAAGAATTTGTATTTTTGTAACTATTTCAGGAATTCTAATGAGAGTGTTTTATGTACACTTTAGTTAACAGACTATTAAAATATATCTTTCAAAGTTTCCTATCTAAAATAGTAACTTGGGAAAAACCCCATAATATCCAGGAAAGACTTATAAGAGATTTTTCTTCTTCTTTAAAAAAAAAAATTCTAACTAGTTGCCAAAAGGAATAGTGCTAAATCCTGGTCTCAACATTCCTGTTCTAATGAAAAGCAATAAATCACAGAGGGATGGTCATAAAATCTGAGTCAGAAAGCGTGGGTTCAAACTCTGCCACTGACTGGCCACAGGAGATCCTGGATGAGGCGGGTCTGTGGGCTCAGCGTCCTCACGGCTCAATCACGAGGTTGGAGGACATAAACTCTAAGATCTCTTCCAACTTGGATGGCTTATGATTCTAATGGTGATTTCAGTTAAGCATGACCATTCCACACGTAATGGAAATAATAAAAGGTACTTATGAGTATGTAGTATTTTGGCTGTGCAATTTAAGGGTTCTGTTTTTCCATCATTTACAACAAATGCTACTATGCCATTCAGAAAAAGACAAGGTTTCTTGCATGTAAGAGATAATTTCAAGTGTGTTTATTGAGTAGATGAGTGAGTGAAAAAAGAGGAACATCTGATAAACATATAGACTCCATATATCATATATATATGATATCATTATATTAAAATATTAGATTAGAGACAATATTTATCTCCAAGGATAAAAACAAACCACCAGATGCCAAAGTATACGTTATCTTTTATCATTGTACTATATGTCTCGAAGAATTCAACATATTGATTAAATTAAAAGCTTTCCGGTTGAGATGGACTGTATCTAATTGGCTATTGCAGTATCTTTATACAGGGTACAGCGGTTACTATGCCTTATAATGATATTTCTTTACTTACCAGGAAGGTTGTGCCACTTGTTCACGGCAAATAGCCTATTAGCAGTGACTGTGATCACAGCAGGGGTTGCCAAACCCGGCTGGGTGTTGGCTGCCACATGAGTGACAGGGGAGTTGGAGGGAAACTTTAGGACCATGATAACATCCTGCTGGGCTTGGTCTGTGAACATCAGTGGACTCTGCAGGAGGAGATACTGTTGAGTGGGCATGACAAGACCCAAATATACAAGAAGGAAAAGACAAAGAAAGACAAGAAAGAGAGGGTACAGGAAAAGAAGAAGAAAATCATGTTAACACAGGTTGCAAGTAAAAGCACAGAGAGCAGAAAAGCTTGCAGAAACAGCAATTATGATTTGCTTGTTTTCCACATACATCATTATTTGAAAATTTTTTAGATTGAAATAGAATACATTAACAGAAACACTTCAAAAATCTATAAATTTCATTAGCCCCCTTTTTCTCCCCAGTACCATGAATAACTAAAAGAATGATTTGATTTCATTTCTAAATAGGAAAAGTATTGGAGATTGCATTAAACCACTGCAGTTGTTATTATGTGCCACATAATGATTTTTTAGTATAAAAAGAAATAAAAAGGAAGGAACAAAATAGTCAGTAGGCATAAAAGCAAGCAAAGGTAATTCCAGAGATGATCAAAAGTAGTCATGAGTTAGCATGAAGATTTTGACAACTAAATAAAGGGATAATCAAAAAATGTATTTATAAACAATAGTCAGATGCCATGCAAATATTGTAATAGAGACATAATTTATGAAGGTAATATACACACTTAATTATAAAGGTGTTTCAAAGCAATGCATAATTAAATGTAATTGTAAAATCAACATATTTGTATGGTGCGCCAAATCATAGGCACTGTATTGTAATGCAGATGTAACTGCGTCCTGCTGTAGGCAGGGATAAAGAGAAATACCTAGTTGCCCTTCCTGTTTCTTGGTTAAAAAAAAAAAAAAAAAAAAAAAAAAAACAAAACAAAACCAAAACCAAAAAAAAAACTAAAGCTCAACATTTTTTTGATTTCTCCTTTGAGAAGCAGAAAGTAATTGAAAACGTTAAATGAAACACTGTTTGTTCTAATAACCAACAACAAAATAAATCTTGAAGACTACCAAGGATTCGGAGCATTCCTACAACCCCTGTGTCATAATCCACGACATATATAACACAAGGCTGATTTACTGGCTTTATTTATATTTTGCGGTGGTATGCTATCATGCAGTAATTGCACTGCACATTTTCAACAATTCTCTCCTACCATGTCTATTTTCTAATAGCTGATTAGTATCATTCAGAACTGAAACACTGATGAAATGCTTCTGGCTGCCTTCCTACAGCCATATTTCAAAACACCAGGTATATGTAAATGTGTAGGCACATATATTTAACACATATTTATTCAGAACGGCTAATAAAAAATTAAATACATTTGCATTTTTATTATCAGTCCTTTTAAAAAAGTTATTAAGAGTACTTAGAAAAACATATTGCACTAAGAATTCCTATTTGCACTCTTTGCATAAAGGTGTAAATAAAGGCAACTAATAAGCTATCCAGACACCCTTCTGAGCAAGTGGCTAAAAGCCAATCAATATTATGAGTTAATCCTCCCTGGATGCTCATTCAATTAAAGGTGTCAGTAATGCCTCATCTGATGTGGCCTCAATTAAATCCAACTATCTGATGGTGTGAAAACACAGGGGGATACAGCAACAGCAGCAAAACCAGACAAATAGGCAGCCTTCGTGTGCCTGCTAATTACTACACCTGGTGCATATTATGGCTCGTGCACTGAACGCAGCACGAGGTGGCTTTAATTTCTGCTATATTCGTGTGTGTGTGTGTGTGTGTGTGTGTGTGTGTGTGGTGAGGTGCATTGATGGCTGAAGGGGGAGCTCATCTGAATGTTAGTAAAAACAATTAATAAGCATGTGGGCTTTTGGTTTTTAAGAACTCTTATCTTAGTCATTTTTGTCATACAAAGGACCTTTTATATGGTTTTTAAGGAAATCCGAGAAATTAGGTTTAAAATGAGAAACATGGAACAACACAAACAGAATATCTTGTCAACTAGTTTTAAAGAAATCCTGAAAAGAGGAAGTGACCATCACTTTGGAGTACCAAGCCTTATTTTTCAATTATGTAGTTTTAAAATAATATTTACTAAAGTCAATATAAATTTTGAGGGAAAAAAAATCACAGTATAACGTAATCATAAAGTCTCACTGAAAGAAAGTTCATACATATTTTTGAGCTTAACAGCTCACAGTATAAATATAATGACTCCAACTGAAAAATTCCAATGTTTATGCCCTTAAAAAACACACCCACAAGAATATCGAATGTGTAAGAAGAATATCTTGTTTACACAGCGACTCTCGTGGGTCAACGCAGCCACATAGCGAGGACAGCAGCTTCCCACAGGCAGCCACAGCCACCACCCCAGGACCGCCCACCACCCTGCGCCCACACATCCCACAGGACTACAGCTCCTGAGGCAGGCGCACCGCAGAGAACTCTCTTGGGAGCGCCTTCACACTCTTGGCTGATAAGGATGAATGAAGAGCACTAGAAATAAGAAAAGGACTGTCTTACCCTCTTGGGCTCCCCTGCTGTGGAGAGCAGAGCAACTGCTCAAATAGGGATAAGAAAACTCTTCGCATCCTGACTACCTCCACGAGCCAAGTCAAAAGCAGACAGGAGCCAGCGCCGCGGCTCACTAGGCTAATCCTCCGCCTTGCGGCGCCAGCACACGGGGTTCTAGTCCGGGTCGGGGCGCTGGATTCTGTCCCAGTTGCCCCTCTTCCAGGCCAGCCCTCTGCTGTGGCCAGGGAGTGCAGTGGAGGATGGCCCAAGTGCTTGGGCCCTGCACCCCATGGGAGACCAGGATAAGTACCTGGCTCCTGCCATCGGATTGGCGCGGTGCACCGGCTGCAGCGGGCCAGCCGCAGCGGCCATTGGAGGGTGAACCAACGGCAAAGGAAGACCTTTCTCTCTGTCTCTCTCTCTCACTGTCCACTCTGTCAGAAAAAAAAAAAAAAAAAAAAAAAAAAAAAAAGCAGACAGGAGTAGCAAAGTGCCAGGCAAATTTCATTCCTTTTCCCAGTATATGCTTGCTAACCACTCTGGTTTCTTTGTAATTTGCCTTTCTTTCCCACTCATGTACGTATAAGAGGAAAACCAGGATTAATACCAGTTTGAAGAGGAGTTCGGGTATTCACTTCAGAGGATATAGGTGAGGTGGGAGATGGTGTCCCCTCCTCCTACGAGCTTGTGCCTTCCCAGCCTGCCCACCCTGGGGACGTGAAGCTGATGTGCAGCCAAGAGCCAATCATCTTTTGCCATGGAGGCAGGCTTGGCAGTGGGAACTCATGCGCTGCCCCAGTAGCCACGGCTGTGCAGTGACCCGGGCCGAAAGTCGTCAGAGCGGTAGAGGTGCTTCCATTAGCCAGCACCAAACAGCCTGAGTCTCCCTGACAAGCTATTACTAAAACTAATTCCAAAGCCCAAACATGAATCATCCCTGCGATTTTCATGGCATTATCCTCCATTGTGCTTGCTAAGTGCTCACTTTGTGCCGTGTGCTCTGCCCACTGAAGCCACCCTTTGTGTTCCTCTAAATCTGATTCCAATGGCTTAAAAATATTTAGGGGACATGGTGATGCAAAAAATATTTTTAATGTCTGATATTTTTTTTTCTGATGGCCAATTTGCATTGCAGGAGAAAGAAGGGGGTAAACCTTGGAAGAAGAAAGAAGATGATAGAGACGGCAAAAGGGAAAAAGATACAGAGAAGGCAGCGAGGTGGGGAGAAAAAGGAAAAAATCAATACAGCCCAGAGGTAGGCAGGGCCTCATTTCCATCTCCTGCCTGCTAGGCTGCCAGTCACCCTTCCCCACTCCTGTCCAGGCTCTGCCATCTTCAAGCCACACATGCAATTTGAATTTATCTTAAGTTGTCCATTATATTTACAGAAACAGATTTTACACTGTCCATTCTTAATTTATAAAAGTAATTAGCTGCCTATTTACGAGGGACACTTCAAGAGCAAACATCTATAGTCTTTTCTTCAGAATAATAAATTTTATCAGGTAATTTAATCTGTTACTGTATCAAGGTTTCCCTTCCTCATTGAAGAATGCCTGCCCCTGAAATTCCAGGAACAGTCAAGGCAGAACAGCCGCATTATTTGGTAGTTCAAGTCTATTTTCCTATCTTTTATTCTGGACAGCCTTTTGAATTGTTTCAACCAAGAGAATGTGGCAAAAATGATGTGTGAGTTCAAAAGCTAGTAGAAGTCTTACTGCCTGTGTCTTCATTCTCTTAGGATGCTTTTTATTTATTTATTTATTTTTTGACAGGCAGAGTGGACAGTGAGAGAGAGACAGAGAGAAAGGTCTTCCTTTGCCGTTGGTTCACCCCCCCCCAATGGCCATTGCGGCTGGCGCGCTGCGGCCGGTGCACCGCGCTGATCCGATGACAGGAGCCAGGTACATACCCTGGTCTCCCATGGGGTGCAGGGCCCAAGCCCTTGGGCCATCCTCCACTGCACTCCCTGGCCACAGCAGAGAGCTGGCCTGGAAGAGGGGCAACCGGGACAGAATCCGGCGCCCCGACCGGGACTAGAACCCAGTGTGCTGGTGCCGCAAGGTGGAGGATTAGCCTAGTGAGCCGCAGCGCCGGCCAGGATGCTTTTCTAACGGTAGGAGTGGGCTTGGTCTCATTTGCCTGAGTATGAAAGACCAGAGGGAAAGAGGAACCAGTCATCTCAGCCCAGCAGGGTAAGAATGAGTCACAGTGAAAGGAGCAGAAGAAATGCCCATTGTGAGAAATTAAAGCACTCATTGCTTTAAGCCACCAAGTTCGGTATACCCAACCATCCCTGTGTTTACCTTCAAGATCTCTCAGCTTCAATAACAAATCCTACATGTCAGAATTAGTTCTAAAAATCAAAAATTGAAGGTCCACTGGTGTGGCTCAGTGGGTTAAGCTACCTCCTGCGATGCCAGCATCTACTATAAGTGCCAGTTCATGTCCCAGCCACACCACTTCTGATTCAGCTCACTGTTAATGGCTTGGGAGGCCAGTGGAAGATGGCTCAAGTGCTTGGGCCCCTGCCAGCTACATGAGACACTGATACAGAGTTCCTGGTTCCTGGCTTCAGCCTGGTTCAGCCCCAGCCATTTCACCCATTTAGGGAGTGAACCAGTAGATGGAAGATCTCATTCTCTCTCTGTCTCTCCCTTTCTCTGTAACTTGGCCTTTCAAATAAATAAATCAATCTTAAAAAAGATTCAAAATTGGAAAACCTCATTGTATGTAACAAATAAACATAATAGTGAAACTCATTTAGAAACACAAAGGATCACTCCCAAAAACTTATCAACCCTATGTATGGAGTCCTTTATCCTACAGTGAGGGCACATGACAAGCATGGCCCTTTAATTCCACAACACGAAGTCTGAACTGAAAAAGTACCAGAGCACTGGAGCAAAGACTTCTCAAAGACTCTGAGGGTGAGTGTAGTAACATTTGCTGGCTGTTAGCTGGTTAACAAACATTGCGCAAGAACAGGCCCAGATGTGGCAGAGAATCACACACAATGGAAAACTGTTAGGAATATTAAGCACGGCCTGACAGACAGGCAAGACATGAGGAGAGTGGGGGGAGCACTTACGGCTTGCATGGCAGAACCTCGGGGAGGGTGGGGCTCTATGAGGAGCTGAGAGGGCGTCTGTCCAAAACTCCGGATTTGAGCTTCGACAGCCTGAAAAAAAAAAGCATGGGCAGGTTTGCGGGTTAAGAGGTGCTGATTACAGGCAATAGACCACAACTGTCACCTGAGAATGTCATCCCCTACTTCTGGCTTGTTTCATGTCGAAAGTCAACCTGTGTTTTCAGAGAGAGGCTAAGCACCTGGCAAGGGCATAGAGGGTGAGGTCATCCTTTAGCACTATGGAAGCTGTTTCTATAAAACCCTGCAAAACTTTCTCATCTTGCTCAGTGATGTGAAACAGAAACCAGCTATTACAATCAGAAATTGTCCTCTTTGTCTTCATCTCTGTTTTCTTGCATTTGGTTTTCCTGCTTGCATCATCCCCAATGACGAAAAGCTAATGTTTTACAGGTATAGAGAAAAACTATTGCTTCTTTGATTCTTGGTCCTATTTCATCTTGGGAAGCAGAAAGGAAGACAGAAGAAATACAGCGCCTGTGAAAAGGGCTTGGCGCTATATTACTTCTGCCATGGGAAGCACATTATTGTTGACAGTCTCTTTGAACCTAGGTGGCTAAATAACAAAGTAAAAGCCATATGTTGCCTCCAAGCACGAGATGGTTAAAATCAAGTACTAATGAAACATAAGGAACGTGTGTGTGTGCACGTGCTCTTTTTGCAAGATGTGTGCACGCACCTTTTTGCAAAGCAATCCCTAATATGGCCCCAGCTGTACACCTAGTACTGATGTCCACTGCCCAACCACCACCAACTCCCTCCTTGGGAACCACCAAATGCCAGATGTTATCGCTATCTGTAATTATTTTGTTTACTTATTTATGTCTGTCCCCTCCTCCATGAAAGCAAGGATCTTGGGTATCTTCTAAGTTTGGTGAATGGATACATACTACACCATGTTTAAGGAGAGAGAAGGAAGCAAAGATGTACACTATACTGGCTATTTCAATAAGTCAGTATTCTTAACTCTCAGGCTAAAAGGATAAAGAAAACCCTTCAAGTTCAGAAGAGATTATTTTCATCATGTCATTATTTCCATCCTTAAGATTTTATCAGTTTTGAAATGGCCTGCAGGATCTTCACAACAGAGGCAATTAATACAGAATATATGGGGGGCTGGTGCTGTGGTGCAGTGGGTTAAGCTGCCACCTGCAGTGCTAGCATCCCATATGTGCACTGGTTCAAGTCCCCGCTGCTCTACTTCTAATCCAGCTCCCTGCTAATGCACCTGGGAAAGGAGGGGAGAATGGCCCAAGTTCTTGGGTCCCTGCACCTACATGGGAGATTTAGAAGAAACTCCTGGCTCCTGGCTTCGGTCTGGTCCAACCCCAGCCATTATGGCCATTTGGGGAGTTAACCAGCAGTTAAAAGACCTCTCTTTCACTTTCTTTTCCTCTCTCTCTAACTCTGCCTTTCAAGTAAATAAATAAAATCTTTTTAAAAAATATATAGCATTTATAAGGAAATATAATCATTATCCAGTATTAATTTCCACTTTTTACTTGATGAGGATACCAGTAATAGTCCTTCACGAGGAGCTTGTAAGAAACAAAGATAATATCTATTTAGTCATGTAGTCAGTGATCATAAACTATGTACATAGCACTATTATATGCTAATGCTTCTGCCCTTGACAAATACATTCCCGATCTAGGAAGCAGGGCAATTGTACTTGAATGGGTAAAAGTTTGATGCAATCTATCCAGTAAATTTAAGGAATGTTCTATGATTTGCTTGGGCAGTAAAGACTAGAGAGAGGGTCTGGCAGTGTGGCACAGTAGGTTAAGCCTCTGTCTGCAGTGCCAGTATCCCATATGAGCGCCAGTTCAAGTCCTGCTGCTCTTCTTCCAATTCAGCTCCCTGCTAATGCACCTGGGAAAGCAGTAAGAAGATGGCCCAAGTCCTTGGGCCCCTGCACCCACATGGGAGACCTGGAAGAAGCTCTGGGCTCCTGGCTTCAGTGTGGCCTAGTCCTGGCCATTGAGGTCATATGGGGTGTGAAGCAGCAGATGGAAGATCTGTCTCTCTCCTTCTTTCTCTGTATTTCTACCTTTAAAAGAAATAAATAAATCTCTAAAAATAAACAAAAAATTACAAAAAAAACAGAGAGGGTCTCTGTGAAAGCCAAGTTGGAAGCATGCATGGGTTTTGAAGTCAGACCATTTCCACATTCTGCATACCACTTATGAACTCTGTGATCTAGGTTAAGTTTTATTTTTTTAAGGATTTATTTAATTATTTGAAAGAGTTACAGAGAAAGATGGAAAGACAGAGAGAGCCAGAGAGAGGGAGAAGCAGAGGGAGAGGGAGAGGGAGAGGGAGAAGGGGGGAGGGAGGGAGGGAGAGAGAGAGAGATTGATTCCATCCGCTCATTCACTTCCCAGATGTCCTCAACAGCTAGGGCTGGGCCAGGCCAAAGCCAGGAACCAAGAGCTTCGTCCAAGTCTCCCTTATGGGTGGCAGAGGCCCAAGTACTTGAGCCATCTTCCACTGCTTTTCCCAGGCCATTAGCATGGAGTGGAGCTGCCGGGGTACGAACTGTTGCCCATGTGGGAAGCAGGAGTCACACACGATGGCTTTATCCATTATACCGCAATGCCGGCCCCTAGGTTAAGGTATTTCTTTAAAAAATCTATTTATTTCAAAGGCAGAATGACAGAGAGAGGGAAAGACAGACACACATACACACACAGATCAATCTTCAATCCCTAGATTATCCCCAATGCCCACTACAGCCGGGACAAGGCCAGGCCAAAGCTGGGAGCCAGGATACGGAATGTGGCATCCCAAGTAAAGACTTAGTGTGCTACACTGTAATGGCTGCCTGACCCTATGGTAAGTTATTTAATCTCTGCTTTAATTTCTTCCCCCCTAAAATGTGGATGTTAATGGTATCTACCTCATAGAGTTATATTAAGAATTTAATGATATATTTGTGTATATATACCCACCCTATAGTGTTATACTAAGGATTTAATTATATGGATGACACAGCAAAGTGCTTTGTACAGATTAGACCTTCAATGTACACTCAATAAATATTTGTAGAGGGCTGCTAACAACAACAAAACAGGCAGGCGCCATGGCTCAATAGGCTAATCCTCCACCTAGCGGCGCCAGCACACTGGGTTCTAGTCCGGGTCGGGGCGCCGGATTTTGTCCCGGTTGCCCCTCTTCCAGGCCAGCTCTCTGCTGTGGCCTGGGAAGGCAGTGGAGGATGGCCCAGGTGCTTGGGCTCTGCACCCCATGGGAGACCAGGAGAAGCACCTGGCTCCTGCCTTTGGATCAGCGCAGTGCACAGGCCACAGCGTGCCAGCAGTGGCGGCCATTGGAGGGTGAACCAACGGCAAAAGGAAGACCTTTCTCTCTGTCTCTCTCTCACTATCCACTCTGTCGATTCCTTAGTAGATAAAAAAAAAAAAAAAAAAAACTTATTTCATACTTCCTATTTGCCAGGAAATTTTCCAAATGACATATCATTCAATCTTTAAACTGTGATACTGATACCTTACTATATCTACTTCACAGATAAAGAAAATAATGCACACAGAGCTTAAACATCATACCCAAGGTCATAATCAAATGACAAACTCAAAATCTGCACCTAAGTAGCCTGATTCAAGAGCTCACACTCTCAAACTCTAAACCACCTTGTTTATGTGTCAGGGAGCACTGCAGGTACTAGAGAAGAGGTTGAACCACCACCACCAAAACCCACATGAACTTACAACCTGATGAATGAATTAATAATAATAAGAGTATTATGTCACTGCCACAATTGTTATTACAGTGGTTTAAATATATATTATATTACATATTTATATATATAAAACTCTACCTTTTAAATAAATATAAATAAATAAATAAATCTTGAAAAAAGACAGAGTGAGAGAGAAATGAAGAGTGACTAGGATAATTTTCAGAACAGCATCTAAAATAGTTTTGATGGGCTGAAATCAATTTATGATAACCCTTCAAGGACAATCTGGAGAACGTCAAGGCCCCACAAAACGGCAAGCTGAAGCCTCAAGTTTCTCACAACCAAGGACAGAACAGCTCTGCTACTTCACGGTACATGTATTTGTGGCCTGAGTTTATGAATGAAGACCTTCAGCTTCTTTTCAAGAACGGCTGCGGAAGCCAGTGCCTGTACCTTCGACAGCTGCCTCCTGTGGTCTCTGCCCAGAAGCCACGTGCCTTCTCCTCCCTTAAAAGGGAGAGTGGGAGGCAGAGAACCCAGGGCCTCAGCACTTGGCCTGGGCTGTCAGAGGCTCAGAGTGCTAATCTCAGCTCTGCCACTTATTTGCTACATCACTTAGGGCAACTAGCTTAGTCTCTGTCCCATTTATAAAATGAAAATAATAACAATACTAGCTCATACAGCTGCTTGGAAAATTAAATTAATAACACATATAAAGTATTTAGTCCAGTACCCAGCACATGCAAAACATTAAATAAAGCGCTGATTATTAGGTTTGGGACTTGGCAAGATCCCCATTTAACACAGCTAAAATAGGGAAGGAAGAAATGCTTCAGCAGTTTATCTAGGAAGATAAGATGAACACATTATTTTAAGAAAATCTAGGTCAGGATTTTAAGGAGCCCAGAGACAGAGAGATCTCTGTGGAGGTTCTGGAAGCAGTCCAAAACATCAGGGACTGTGTATCTCAGTCCTTACAGAAAGACAGGGGTGAATACGGGAACCACGTCCTGAGGCAAAATCGACAGATCCTAGAGACTGATGACTGAACAAGGAAAAAAAAGACAAAACTAATCATTATTATTATTATTATTTGTTTTTTACTTGCATGTTTTAGAGAATAGTAGAACAGTGAACATAAATAGGAGTTTCAATTGGGGAGAACCAGTTTGACAGGAGAAAGACAGTAAATTTTATGGCAAAAGAAAGTCCATGGCTGCCTCTGAGATAAGAGATCAGAGGTATTGATCTGGGTGTCATTCATTCAAAAGAGAAATTGAACTCATTGGCTTCTGATCTTTCTCTCTCACTGTGCACATGTGTATGTTTTTAA